GGAGGAGGAGGAGGAGGAGGAGGGGGTGAGTCATTGCTAAACGATTCGGACGATGAATGGTATAAATTTGTTCGGCACACATTAAGTATGTTCTCATCTGTATGGAATGCGTTATCCGTGCGTCCTTTCCCTAGTCGTTTTTAACATGCGAACATATTTTGTTGGCTATTTTTTCTATATTCCCTTTATTTTATAATAATAATAATTATATTTGCTTATACAGTGCGTCCCAGAAAAAAAAACCCCGAGAATTATCGATGTTTTATCATTACTTAGTCACATTTATAATTAATAAATGACACATATTTGTAAATATTCCGTAGCAACAAACGGAATTAACAAAAGACTTAACTCCAATTCGTTGACAATCAGCCGTAGACGAAAGACTTCATGCATGGCTGATTGTCAACGAAACGGAGTTAAGTCGTTTGTCAATTCTGCTTGTTGCTTCCGGCAGGCAGCCAGTGAAAACAAATTCGTTTGATAAGATTATGGAAATGCAAGCACTACTTTAAACAAACAGAACTTTGTTATTCCTTGCTCATTTGTTCTGATTGAGGTGTCATATTTTCAGAAACTCACCTTTTTATAAATGTGATTTTCTCTTTGAAATACAGATACCGTCCGCCAAATGACTTTTGGTTTCCTCTCTTCAAATTCATTTTAATCACTTATGCGAGAAATATGCATCATATAAGGTGCACTAAATGAAAGAGGAGGATGTAAGCTTTCCAAATATGTGTCATTTATTAATTATAAATGTGACTAAGTTATGATAAAACATCGATAATTCTCGGTTTTTGTTTTGAAATGGATAGAATAAGTTTTAATATGAAGTTAAAATCATTTTGTTACAGCAAAATTTACATGTTTCTCTTGTAAACTACTTCTAATTTCCTATTAAAAAAATCATATACGTCAATATTCATATGTACGCCACAACTGCACATGCATTTCCGTGATTTTAAGCGATTCAGTTTCTTTTGCGCAGGCATTTTGTAGATTCTTCAAGGTACAGTTCGTATTTTTTGTATAGCTGACTGGCGGCGGTCGTGATGAGATCAAAGCTTTGAAGCATGTTTGGAATGTCATTATGATACTTTTGACAGAGTCAGGTGCATGTATGTATTATAGAATGGATCAGTGTCCATTTGTAGTAGGTCCATGAGCCAACGATGGGTTGATAAAAGATGGGTTTGCATCATTATTATAACCCAAACGATATCCCTATAATGCCTAGCCGCGGCGGCCGTGGGGTCAAAATATCTACGACCAATAGCATTTATAGGGCAACCGCAACATTCCCACGGTCACATGCTGCAGTCGCATATGTTAGGGTAGACGCACGGCGTATTTTGAATTTGTAGAGACAGAAAACCTGCGGCTGCCGTATGGCCTTTGACGTGATGACGCATGGTCGCCTTAGAGCGTCCCTGCGGCGGCCGTACAGTTTTTGACAAATACCAAGGCAGACGAAAGGTAGCCGCAATGCCACCGTACGCCCGACGTATGGTCGCCATGGAACCGCTCTACGGCATGGCTATGGTGTGTCTTATTATCTAATTGCTACGGTAAACCTAGAACTGAAAAAGGTTATAACTCCCGGTTATAATCCCACGACGACCCGTACGGCCTGTAAAGATAGGGAAACGCCCTAGAGTGACACTGAGGCCAACGAAGATCCTCTGCGGTCGCCGCAGGTATCTCTCGGTTTCGGGGGCCTACGACCGCCGTATCCTAGCCCTAGAGCAAATGTGACTTAGGCATTATGCCTGGATTACATTTGACCCGGGTGCCCTACGTTAAATTAGTCTACGATTTTTCGTGCGATTTTGGGGGGAATCGTAAGAGGCTACGGGCTACGATGTTTGTGATTATATTATGTACATTATGTTTACATTTCATGTATTCTGTATGGCAGGCTGGGGCAATCCGTACAAAGGCTGCTCGGAGATTGTACGGAAATCGTGCAATTTCAGTGCAGTAGCCGTACAGTCTCCGCAGACTCCGCACGGAAATCGTACGGTGACCGTGCAGTCGCCGTGCCGATTTTGAGCGTTTTTTTAACCCCGCCATTGCATATATAACGCATATGTAACAAGTCGAACTTTGGACGCAATTTACCACGCAATTGTAAGATTATAGGTCAAGCACACGAAGGATAAGGAGCATGAATTATCATAGATCAGTTCTGCTTGGTTCATTATGTCCACTTCAGCCAACCCCCCACCGTAATTTTTCCATTTAGTATAGGCAAACATTTTGCCAAGGTAAGCAAAAACATGAATATTCATGACACACCATGACTATTCGATTATTAACAGAGAGGTGCAATTGTGCACCACATCAAACTCCCCTACTTTCAGTCAAGTATTTCATTGTATTATGTAGTTTGGGAGGTTTATTTTACTAACTTTTTAATTATCAGATATCAATGATAATTTAAAGATATGGAAAAGGTTCTTGTATATTATATTTAGCAAAGCAATCTCACATACAAAATCACTATCAAGTGTCGTCTGATCCGCCGATTGCCGTCTGCTATATACGTTCTATAGACGGCGAACTAGCTACGTTTGTGCTGGAGAAAATGAGACAACCGGAGCAATATGAATAATTAAATGAAACGTGAAAGCTTCCGCGCTTCGCGCGGGATGGGCGAAAATGAATCAAGACAAGGATAAAGAGTAATAATTGAATGAAACGTCATAGCTTCTGCGTTTCGCGCGGGAGGGGCGAAACAAGAATTAAGATTCGAAAACAACGGATCGTCTTCTTTCTCTAATAATTTAATGAAGTGTCAAAGCTTCCGCGCTTCGCGCGGGAGGGGGGAAACTGAAACAAAACTTAGTTCCTGGCTCCGGGGTTTAGGGTTAAATTTATGTACATTGGGACATTGGCATTAATATATTTTTCGGTAATTGGTGGCCTCAACAGTCTACACCCCCCCCCCTTCCCCACTGAAAAAGGTCTAGCGACGCCCCTGATAACAACACAGTTTATACACACGATATATTTTTTGCAAGTACTATTGGTGAAGTACCGGACCACCGTCTTTGTGCATTATGCAGTAACGAAGCACGATGTTACAGATCACTTTCTCTAACTTCTAACCAATCAGAAGGCCTCCTTTTCCCCCAGAAAGTGCCGGTGGACATTAATGCGCCAAATGTGGTTCTCAAATTGCAACAGATCCCTTCTCTTGGAGGGGGTAGGAGAAAGCAATTTTACGTCATAATTATTACTCCAGGATGTGCCTGAAAATGCGTCTAATGTGGTTCTAAAATTGCAAATGCTTCCTACTCGGGGAGACGGTCAGAACCCCCTCAAAGACCCACCCCCCGCTTGGTCGCTCCGATCCCTCGCCGCTAAAAGCCTCGCTCTGTCGCTTCATCGTTGTACATATATTTCACCCCTGCCATTTTGTGCCACCCCCCCCCCCCCCGGGAAGAAATTTCTGGATCCGCCACTGATGCCCATACCCCTTAAACTGCGGGGGCTCCGCCCCTTGATCCCCGCCTAGACCCCACTTTGAAAAACGTTCAGCAGGGCCTGCATGTAAAAGTGGGGGTGATGAGGAATTTTTGTCTCCCCCCAAACAAAAACAAAAACAAAAACAAACAAAAAAGTTTTTGCTCATTACGCCACTGTCTTACTACCAAACCCAAACAAAACGCACTACCATCCCCCTAAAAAAAAACACGCACACACATACAGACTTATACATGATACATGTATGAGGAAGACGAAGCAGAGAACTTGGGAAACATATAGAGAAAGGAAGGAAGATGAGAGAGAGAAAGAGGGAAAAAGAGAGAGATGGAGAGACCACAATGAATTTGGAATGCAACACAATAAAAACTTGCATATAGGCCTATGATCCCCTTATAACAGGGACGATGACAAATATTGTCGAATCCGGAAAGATAGTAAATCTGTTAGGCAGCTCGTTGTAAACAGTGAGCTTTGAAAATTAAACGAACGATCTTTTGCGTTTGGGTTAGCCGGACAAGAAACAGACGGCATTCGTATGCTATTGTTGTCTGAGTTTGGGACAGATGAAATTATTTTGAAAGTCTTTGTGTTTCCTGATAAGTGTTGAGATCCTTGCTCTGACAAAAGTTTATGCTTATTTGTTTATCTTTACATTTGTAATATCCCCAATAACTCCCCCCACACACACACACGCACACACACACAGAAGAAGAAGAAGAAGAAGAAGAAGAAGAAGATGAAGAAGAAGGAGAAGAAGAAGAAGAAGAAGAAGAAGAAGAAGAAGAAGAAATAGAAAAAGAAGAAGAAGATGATGATGGAGAAAGAAGGAGAAGGTGGAGAAGATGAAGAATGTAAATTTCAATGTGTATTTAACAAGGTTAAACAATAAATATGCAACAACACCATGCAAATTATGTAAATCCTCAAATTTAATTTCTACAGATGACTAAGTTTTTGTGTTTTTGTACACTGTAAAGCACATAATAAGTGAACTACGTCTGAATGACATGAGTAAAGACTGGTTTAGCAATGACAAAAAGAATGTACTCCGGCTCCAAACTTTTAAACTTTTAAACCGATAAAATGTACGGAATTTGGAGCCTACGATCATAGCAACAACAACACAACATTACAACAAGGGTCTGCATTAGCCCCATTCCCTTGTAGCATTCCGTGTTTTTAATACAGCCTGCTGAAAAAATTGTTGGATGTTTGAAAATCTTTGCCTGTACTATTTTGCTTGTTACACTTCTTTACTTTAATCTATTTCATTTTAAAAAATACATTTTGATTAGCTTGTCCATTAATATATACCTTCAAGTTAGTAAATAATTTTATTATTTATTAATTGAAAACTGAGTATGTCGAAAATTGTCAGGAAATGCCGTGTAACAAACATGCGAGTTAAACAATGTTTCGAATCTGGGGGCTTGCCGCAGTAGGCCGTTTCATTGGTGAACTTCGCCTCCGAGCCCCCCCCCCCCCCCCCCCCCACCCAAGTGGCGTATCCAGTGCGGATGTTGGGCTAGCAGGTTTACCCGTCCAATCGTCGATACTCGCATTGGTTTTTGTAAAAACACAAAAACGCCAAAAAGGATATGGAGCCAATGTAGGGAAGGGGGTGGGGGATAGAATCATGGATACTGAAAAGACATGAATATGCAGGTTTATAACTGTGATGATTTCAAATCACCTGAAAATATTAATAGTTGATCATGAATTGATATTGGTATATAAAGCCGTACAGATCCTGACAGAATAAATACAGATGTGATCCATGAAATCATGTAATGGAGAAAAGGAGCCATCAATGTTGGTTGCCCTCACAAAACCATAGTGTGGACCAAGGTCATAATAAGACACTTTGGAGTTGGCACTTTAATGATCCACAAATATCAACAGATCTTTTAACCACTTCAGTGCATTATTATGGTTAAAAAGCCACAGCACTACAAATATATACAGTGCTGTTCTAGAGTCATGAAAACTTAATTGAAAACAATTTCCCCCATTGTTTTTTTGTTGTGTTTTTTGCTCAGGGCTACTTCATTATCAGATTGAAAACAACAAAATGTAAGGAAATTTAAAGAAAGAAAGTGCTGAAGTAAAAAAACATTCATATGCCTAATATACACCAGGCTTCGCGAGGAGGGGGTGGAGTATCCGAAAACATTTGGTGAACAGTTTTGGGAAGAGAAAAACGAAATATGCACAGAAAAAAATGCCAACAATAAATTTACTACTTTCTAGATGACTAGCATGAAAAGTTTTTGCTTCAAACAATTACAAATTACGTAGAAAAATTCTCCCTGTAATACCGTGTAACTAAGTCTTAAAAAAGCATTGCAATTTGCTATAAGTTTCACGACATCATGTTACTTTTTATTCTTTTAAATCATTAGTTTGGGAAAAGTAAAAGTGAAAAAGTGTTTGTGTTCTTAAACCTCCTACTAATGAAGTTATCAACACTATGTACAACAAAAAGTAAATGAAAAATAACGACAGGATGGACGTTCATATTATCATTTTCTCTTCAGTACCCTCAGGTAAGCTGGATCCACACGTGCTTTATTCGTCTTTGCACCCACCAGCGGCCTCTGCTCCCTTACCTACCATCCACAAAATAATAATATATAGAATATTAAGAAGATAGTTCAAATAAAGGGAAAGTCCACTATGATATAAAGTTGGTTTTAATAGAAGCAGAAAATGACAGGAACAGGACAGTGAAAGTTTGAGCAAATTACGAGTAAAAATAAGAAAATTATGTATTTTTAAAGTTGCGATCAATCAAACCCTAATTGGAAACGCTGTGACATATTTTGTGAGATCCCTTCCTGTTTGATCTATACAAAAAAAATATTATTGATGATAAGATAAATAAGCTGTTACATTCCCTGAAAACGTATTATGTTTCCTCATTGCCCATATTGCCACCACATTGTGCAATGGATGGTGCATAGCCCAAGGGGCGGATCCAGCCGGCGGCGGGGGAGGGGGCCAAATCCGTGAGAAAATATTTAGCGGCCACTCAGCCGACCTGCCGAATAAGCGGAGCAAACAAACAATAATATACATTTACTTCTTTTTCTTTTTTTTACAAGGGCCTGGGCCCCCGCCTATGTACTCTCTGCTGCATTGCTCGGCTGAAAGCGACAAATCGCCTTGTTGTGATAGTGGAAAGTTGTGGTCTCATAAAGCTTGTGAAAGGAATAGAAAGTTATGAATAATTATGATTACCTGGTGTGCCGCTAGGAGGGTTCGGGAGGGATACAGGTGAGTCCTTGAGGGTTTCTGCGTCTGACGGGACAGGAGTTATAAACTTCTCTAATTCTGGAGAAAATAAAACAAGAATATTTGTTATGGTTTAAGAAAAATATATCGTACTATAATTTGTTTTCTTTCGCACTCCGCTTTCATCCTCTCTCTCTCTCTTTCTCTTTCCTCCATGTTTTCTTAGGGTATTTTTTTTAAATTGTGTTCACCCTCTTTGAATATGATGACAATACAGTTTTAAAAATGTTAATTATTACAAAATAATAATAATGATTAATTTTCAAGATTTGTGAGGTCAGAGTGCGAAAATTACATCTTATAAAGCTTTGAGGGAGGGGATTAAAGAAAGAGTTGCTCTTAGTCGCTTTAAATTAGGGGCACAAGTTATGGAAAAAGGCATAAGAAGCACTTATCAGAAAGGCACTTATTAGAAAGACATTTATTAAAAAAGAAAAGGAGCATGCGTCAAGGTAAAAATGACAGTTATCAATGGTGAAAAACTGGGCACTTTTCACACCTGACTGGGGCACACACCAGAGATTAACAAAGACACTAATCATAATGGAAAATGTGCATTTGTCGAAGGAAAAGGGGAACCTATATGACATTGATAGGGGCATTTATCAAAGGTGAAAAGCGGCATTTTTGAAAAGGGGAAGGGCCTGTTATAAAAAAAGAAAAGGAAAGGAAAGGGGCACTCATTAGAAGGAAAAGGGTGCATGTGCCAAGATACGCTTATAAGAGTTAAAAAAGGGGGCATTTATGAGAAAGGAAAGTGGCTCTTATCAAAAAGGAAAAGGGGCACATATCAAAAGATGAAAGGGTACTTATTAGAAAGGAAAAGGGGACGCGTGTCAAAGTGTTAAAAAAGGGCAATTATCAGATGTGACACTTATAACAATGGAAAATTGGCACTATTATAACGGAAAAGGGGCATATATTGAATAAAAAGGGGCACCTGTCAGATTTGAATAGGGTGTAATTATACAAGTTGTAAAGGGGCACGTAAAAGAATGAAATGTATGATGGGCTTTGTTTTTAGCTCAGTAATTTTGTATCATTACTATGTGGTTGTTTCCGTTATAAATTAACATACTAAAGAATAATCTACAAACCTGCTTTGATGTCATTAGCATGGTCCTCCATTCCATTCTGTAGAAATCTCTTTCTCAGATTCTGAGCACTTTCACTCTTCCGTCCATGTCTCATAACAAACTTGGACAAGAGAGTATTGTATGCGCTACTTGGATTCATATTGTTAATGGCCCCCATCGCTGCAGCTTGGCCATCGGCTGCGGTGAATCCCAGGTATGCGCTGAAGTCGACTGCGGCGACATTCACAATCAAAATCTTTTTTGACAATTTCACCAGAAATAAGTCAGTCAAAATGTCATTAATGTCATCCATCACAAGTTGCGAAGTACTGACGCTAGAAAAAAAAAATGCATATTTAAAATGTAATAATAGAATAACGTTATGATTTAAATAAACGCATGAATGAATACATTTTTACTCTAATATAATTTTATTCTTATGTTCAGAACTACAAAAAAGCAGTAACTAACAAAGTTAACACCCTTCTCGTCCCGAACAGACAATTGTTATAATGCTGTGAGAATCATTTGCTAGAATATGTCTGACATAACAACAGCTACTGTCATTTGAAATGTGGTATTTTGTGAAATCAATTTGGAGCAATGCTAGCGCTTAAGGCATGGTCATAATAATCATCGTTTATTGTAGGATGAAGTTGTGCAACCGCCCTCAGCTTTGCCGAATCCTAGAAATATGCTTAATTCATCTTCATAGTGTGATATCACAGGAAGGACTGTCAGATTCGGTAGGGTCTGGAATCTAGTTGATTCTTAGGGGCGGCGGTTGCACAATCGGGGGGGGGTGCTTTTAAATAAACGAATTCATATAGACCAAGCAATCAATAAAGTCCGGATTGGAAGGGATTGACAAAATCTATCCTTTCTAGAGTGTTTACTCTTGCTCCAGATCGCTACCAGCGTAGCTTAAGGGCGATGTGACCTCACCCACCCCCTTCCCCTCCCCTCATTATATATATATCTCTCTCTCTCTCTCTCTCTCTCTCTCTATCTCTCTATATCTCTTTCCTCTTTCTCTCTCTCTCTCTCTCTCTCTCTCTCTCTCTCTCTCTCTCTTTTTCGCCATAATGCTTTTGGGGAGAATTTTGGTAAGTGTAGAAAGTACAGCCCACTGCTAACTATGCCATCCGTCTACGATCCGATCTTGTAAGAATTTCGCCACATTTTTTTATTTGAATCCAAGCCTTTATAATCTTCTTGATTGAGGTTCCAATAATCACGTGCCTTAAAGACCGTCAATACTACTGGGCCAGAAGGGATTAGACCACTCAGCCAGGTCACTGACAGGTGGCTATCTCATTAACTCAGCTCTCAACTAACATAAGAAAAAGAGGATCATGGGGGACCAACAGGCACCGATTGGGGAAGTTTTCTATATAGAGGAAGCAAGTAGATACAAGTAGGACAGTGGGGCTTTAAAGTGTGGTCTTCAAGTCAGAGGGGAAACAATTAGCTACACATCAGTGTGAGTCTTGCCACTGCAGTGCACTAGTCTGTGGTCATTATGATTGCTTCTTCTCAATTTCGATCCTGCTATCAACATGACTTTGGAAAAGATTTTACCTCTTCAGATTTTCATACCTAAAGCTATTGTAAATATTGACTTGACAATGTATTGATAAACTAATATTTTATGTACTTTGCCCCGACAACCGTGATATGAGTGTTCCATTATAGATCTTGTTCATTTCAACATTTGTGAATAGGGGAACTTTTTTCTAAAAGTATAATAGCTAAAGGTTCTACAACAGCATAATATACTTTGTTGTAGACCATTCACGAGCGGCTGCTTTGATATGTTTACTTTCATCTATATCATAATAAAACCCCAGTTTCTTTTGAAAGAAAAAAATCAAAGTAAGTCAACTTCAATAGTTGTGTACTTCACCTTTTCATATATCCGAATATTACTATGGGACATTCCGGTATCTGATCATGGTTTTTATGGGCAGTGCTGTATAGCATTGGGCCTTGCCTTGAGTTGATTTCTTAAGAGTAATTTGCAAGCGTGTTATATCTTGTTGAAAATGTATGTTTTCAATATTTTTCCGAATTGACGTCCCCATCATAGATGTATAAGCTAACCAACTGTTTTATGTTGAATTTTAGTAAGTAATCATTTTAGAAAAAAAAATTAAAACAATTATGCAAAGAATTTATAGTTCAAAATATGGTTAGCTGGTAAGATAATCACGAAGGATTTCTAGAAATCAACCCTCTAGGTGAATTAAGTAGCCTTGTCTATCACCTTTAGAATCCGTATGCTCACTCCATCGCACCCTTCAATGCCTGGGGCAGAAATTTCTTCCAGGTTCCAGTATAAGGCGTTATCAAAAATCATCAGTTCATATACAACAAAAAACCTTTACCATGTTATCATTTCTATGAAACGTATTTTACTTTGTTTATTACGTTAGAACCATACATGGTGCCATGGTTTTGCGGGACCACCGATCTTTATAGCTGTCGTTCTCGTGTTTTGTAAGCCTCCTGGTTGCATAGAAAAGACTATCTGAGCAAAACTGGCGTAATACTTCCAAATATGTTGTTGATGAAATAAACAATAATATATAGTATACGCTTTGCAGTGCAACACTTCCAGCAAACACACACACTTCTCAATACGTCCCGAGCATTATAAAAACGTGCATATGAAACGTTAACTTGCTCGCTAACTACGATTTATTTTGTTCAGGCTAATCTCAATGTAAATTGATTTTAAACAATCCTGGCTACATGTATTTTACATGACTCCTGCTTACATTTAATTACAGAGTAATAATCTATAAACAACACATCAAATACTCACAATAAGTTTAACAAGAGTGCTGAAAATGTCAGCAAAGCTGTTTAGAATGTAGACGATTTGCTATTTGGACTCTGCATGACATCTGTATTTATTGCTTATTGACTTGTATTAATATACTAATATGCAATGTACTTTGACCCAATAATAACTAACCTTGATATCAGTGTGCCATTATAAATGTTGTTTATTCAAATATTTGCGAAAACGGGATTTTTTTTCTTCAATATAGTATAATAGCAAACAAATCTACAAGAGCATATAATAAACTTTGTTGTAAACCATGCATGAGTGGTTGCTTTGAAGTGTTTGCTATCATCGATAGCTCAATACAGAACAATCATATGGGAAACACCGAGTTCTTTATGGCACCAAATATATAGTGAAGATAAAGTGGTCCCTATTCACCGTTAACACAGATCATGTCATACAGTTCATACCGAAGCATTGATAATAGAATGAACTTTTCTCTTTTTCTTAGGTTTTGTATATGTGATTTCTGTGAACTCTCAAGTTTTAGTCGAAAAAATGTTGAAACACTAATTTGCTAACCAGGTATATCACGATTGCAAAATACTTTAAAGAAATCAACTGAAGTGAACGAGTCCCAATGCTATACAGCACTGCCCCTTAAACCATGATCGGAAGACGTAATTTCTAATTGTAATGTTCGCATATATGAAAAGATAAAGGACAGGGCTATATAAGTTGCCCTACTTTTTTTTTTTCAATTTTTTTTTGTGATAAACAAGAATGAAGCAAAATATGAGTGATGAGGGTTCTCTTCAATAAAAAAAAAACTTCAAATTGTAGAAAATATAAAGCTTTGAAACAAAATTGTTTGATTTAATATTTCATCTGGTTTTTAATCTCAACAAAATGTTACCTTTCCTGACGTAACAAATAGGCATCACTTATAAACTGTAATACATAACATTTACTTGAATAGACGTAAATATTTACAGTCATTGTTAATAATCTACCATCGCAGAAAGTGTGATTTATAATTAAATAAAAAAGAATAATTTCCGAGACAGTGGTTAAGTATACATGGATCAATCGCAAAATATTACTGACATAAACGTGATTTCAATAAACAACAGATGACAATGAAAGCACATTATATACACAATGAACGGGTAAGAAAATACAAACAAAATTACAAATAGACATTTATATTATTGGAATGAAAATGCGCTATTCTATTTTATGAATTTCTTACAGGATAACAGAGAAAGGCCAACGCCTTAGATACAAAAATTTCAATATTGGTAGAGGAAACTGGTGAGTCTATAGGAACATTTTTATTTGTCTAATAAAGTATAATAGTTAATGATTCTAAAAGAGCATATAATACACTTTTTGTAAACCATTTACGAGTGACTGCTTTGATGTGTTTTCTATCATCAATAGCTGAATACAGAACAATCATGTGGGAAACCCCGAGTTCTTTATGACGCCAACTTGATAGTGAGGATAAAATGGTTCCGATTCATTTTTAGCACAGATAATGTCATACAGTTCATAATGAAGTATTAGTAATAGATTTATCTGTTCCTTTTTTCAAGTTGTATACGTGATCTCTGTGACCTCTCATAATATAGTAATCTGCCAACAATGTATAACACGATTGCGAATGACTTTCAAGAATCAACTCAATGGTTGTCTCAATGCTAAACTACACTGCCCATAAAAACATGACCAATATTGAAGCAATCTGGTTAGTCTTAGAAACAGTTATATTTGACTATTAATTTGTGAATGATTTGAAAGAATCGACTACTTAGAATTCATTGATTGAATTTCCCTTCAATATCAACTATTCATGCATTTGTTCATGGGTTAATTTGACTCAATATAAACTTAACCCTTTATGAATATCACGAAAAATATATATGGGTCGCAATGCACATACACATTGTCTACCCTGTATAAATATCTAACGGATGAAACCAAAAAATACAGACTGAATTACAAAGGGTTTGATTATCCAATTTTAGTATTATACAAACAATGGTATTATTAACGAATCTGAAATTCGAAAATATGTGCGTGCACAATGTATTTAACAATCATTTCCCAGGTTTAAACGAGATGATTTTTTTTTTACATGTATTTTGTTACATGTTTCCGATTGGCTGAAGGCCAATAGGTTAAAATTTAATATGAATTAAACAAAATATATGATATTTCGTTCAGCCAAAACACTTGACATTATCAAAACATCAATCAAAAGGAACAATATTTGAAATTGAAAAGTTTTATAGCATAAACTTCCTTGGGGTCATAATCGACGAAAGTCCAAATTGGACAGGACATGTTAACAATATTCAACGGACAAATAAGTATGTTTATCGGCATAATGTCTTAAAGCTACACTGTAAAAAATAATTTGTTCATTGGTAATTTTTACGTATTTTTTCCATGTAGAATTTACTTGTAAACATTAGTTTTGCCACTTACGCACTAAATTTAAGGCTTGCTAACTCAAACTTTCAATTTAGTAGAACA